TATCTACCCCCGGGATTTTATAAAACGTTTTAAACCCAAAAACTTTCATATTTGCAATAAACTCAAGAAAAAGCACCATGGAGGTTGGCAGCGTGCCTTAAAATCTACACCCATACATCACACCACTGTTCCAGTTATCATTAGTACCAACTGCCGGTCCCTGCCTAACAAAATTCTGGATTTTCAGTCTCTGTTGTCTTCTAGTACCTACCACAATACTGGTATAGTCACTCTGCAAGAAACCTGGCTCCATGACTCATACGATGACAATATTGTGTCTCTAAACAATTTCAATGTTTTTCGACAAGACCGTATTTGTTCCAAGAAAAAGTGTGGTGGAGGTGTTGCAACTTTTATTCACTCAAAATGGTCCATTTCAAACAAAGTTTGTTTCAAATTCTCGAATGACTTCATTGATTGCATCACTGTGAGATGTCGCCCGAAACACATTTCAAAATACAAATTCATTTATATTTCTAATGTTTATGTCTCTCCTGGCTGTACCATATTGGATTTATCTATGTTCGCCGATGAATTCACCGCTTTTGCTGCAGCTTGCTTCGAGAACTCTTTATCAATAGTAACAGGTGATTTTAATTCATGCGATCACTCCTTCCTTATATCACTTGGTCATGACAATATTGTCAACTTTGCCACCCGTCTTGGTAAAAAATTGGACCTGGTATTTATCAATGATGTTGGTATATATGAAGCTCGCAAACGTGCTCCTCTACTTAATTCTGACCACTGCATCATACGTGTGCTGCCTAAAATATATTCCAAATCACACAAAGGTGTCCTCTCTCACCTCTGCAGTAAAGTTCAACGGAGATGCTACTCAAAAGACAACCTAGACAAGCTCAGATGCATGTTGAAAGACACTAACTGGGACTTATTTACAGAACAAACATTAGATGAAACAATCACAAACACTACTGATTATCTTAAATTCTGTTTCGAAATATGTTGTCCTAAAGAAACATTATTCATCCGATTTGATCGCTTATCTTCGCCATATCTCAAAAAGCTACGTAGAAATAAAGAACTGTTGTTCAAAACTAATGATAAGCCTGGTGTAAAAAAGTTAAACATGCTGATAAAACTGGAAATAAAAAGACTAAGTGTTTTATATAATCAAAGATTTTTGTCATGTAAAACCCCTTCTAATTTATGGAAACTTTTCAAAGAAATTACTAACGGTAAGCGATGTATTTCTGTTCCATCTCTTAATGTTGACACTCTTAATAAATCTTTCATACGCTCTTCTGTTGATACCCTTCCAAATGATACAAATCATATTGACAATAACTTTAGTGGTTTTAATACCCTTGATGTGCTTAAATGTCTCCGGTCTCTTAAGCCTTCTCAAAGCCTTGGTCCTGACGGCATACCTGCCATTGTCCTCAGGAATTGTGCTGATATTTTGTGTTATCCTCTTACTAACATTTTTAATGCCTCTTTTTCCGGTAACGTTCTACCTTTTGCATGGAAAAACATTAAAATTATCCCTATACCAAAACCATCTTCTGGTTCTGATATTAAATTTCGGCCTATTGCAATTACTTCCCCCTTTTTAAAATTGATGGAAAAATTACTTTTACTTCGTCTTGAACCCGCTTTGAAACCTTTTAATGATCCTAAACAATTTGCATACAAACATGGTAGAAGTACCTTGGATGCTGCGGTTGTCTTGTATCACAATGTTGTCTCTTGTTTAGACAAAGGTGCTAAATATGTTCGTAGTGCTTTCTTAGACTACACATCTGCTTTTGACTCTGTACCTAGGGGCCTTTTATTAAATAAGCTATCATTGACACAAACAGGATCCTGGGCTAAGAGTTGGTTGCATTCCTATTTTTCTGATAGAATGCAGTATACTGTATATAACGGCAAATCTTCTTCTACCTCGCTTACAAAATCCGGTGTTCCACAAGGTGCTGTCCTCTCTCCTTTTCTTTTTTCTTTCTTCCTACATGACCTGCCTCATTCAAACGAAACTAACTTTGTCAAATATGCAGATGATCTGACTGTATCACTGCCTATCACTTCCGAGTCTGACAGCTCCAAACTTAATAGCTTTCTGTTGGACATCAACAACTGGTCCAAGTCAAATGGTCTTATATTAAATCCTTCCAAATGTCAGGTGCTTGACTTTACTTTCAAGCATCGACGTGACTTACTTGAACTAGTTAACTCTCATGATCCCTGTAGCATAGATGGCACGGAAATTGAAACCAAATCAAGTATTAAATACCTTGGACTAGTTTTTTCCTCTGACCTTTCATGGTCATCCCATATCTTATCTATCTCTAAGAAAATGTTTCGTCTTACCTTCTACATTAAAAAGTTAAGACAATCAGGTATCAACCAACCTTTAGTTTTGCAATTTTTAAACTCCTGTATTTTACCTATTGTACTCTACTGCTCTCCATTAATCTTTCCTGGGCTGCTCAAAAAAGATTATATCATATTACGAAGAGTATTAAATGCTGTGAGTAGAGCTTGTGGTCTGCCACTGCATGAGCTCGCTAATACTATAGTCGAGAGGCATATAAATTCCTGTACGAAATGGGCAAAGGCTATAATGTCAGACCCTCTGCACCCCCTTTATTCACACCTGTCCCCTTGTATCTCATCAGGTAGGACGAGAAGTCAATATAAAAAGATATATGCTCGTACTACTAAGTATAGAAATTCTACAATACCCTATTTAGCGCGTACTTTATGTGACGAAGACTCTGTTAGACGTGAAACTTACAAGTTACTATGTAATTAGCACAGTGAATCGACCCTTTTATCGCTCATCTTTCTGTATTTTATGGTGTTACACTTTCTATCGTTTAAATCGTTACTCTGCTATTTTATATTAGTTGGTATTACTATTATTACTACAATTTTGTACTTTATACATATTTTTCTCCGTATGGCACACAGTATTTTGCTACGTAGCTGCTACAACAATCGTTTTATTACTATTATGTATTGTGTATTTTTAATTTTTTTTGTCGTTTTTGGGTAAATTAGATGCAATATTGTACTGAATGCTGAAAATTCCTTGCTGTATCATGAGTACTGTTTTTGGAATAAAGCAATTATTATTATTATTATTCTTGACAACACTCTCAACTACCTACCTAAATAAGCTCAAATAATTGGTCAGTATTACGACACACACACACACTCCTAATTCACTAGTCCGTTATAAGCCTGGAAAATAGGGAAGGTTGAGCTAGGAACCCCATACGGTAAGAAAAAACAAAGAAAAACACCTCCATTTCTATAGAAATTTAAAAGTGCAAAAATATGAAACGTAGTCTCAGCCAGTGCCTTCCAAATCTCTATTGCTTCTATTACTACAAGTACCGCATGCAATGGTCGTAAGTTGCTGGTTTGAGCTCTTCTGTAAATAATTTTATCATCGAAATTACACAAGGAATCATGTTTCTCATGTACCACAACGGAAAACTCAGCGAGTCGTTTGGAGTAAACACAGGGGTCAGACAAGGGTGTTTATTATCACCGATGATATTCCTAATTGTGGTGGACTGGATTATGCGTCAGACAGTCGGAAACGAGAAGCCTGGGATATCCGCGACTAACCGACGTGAAAAACCTAGAAGACCTGGATTTCGGGCGTGGATGACTTATATATGATGTCACACGAAATCGAAGACTTACAAGCGAAGACCGACAAGCTACTGGTCGAAGAAGCAGCCGGCGAACACAGGACTCCAGGTGAACATAGACAAGACGGAGATTATGAAAATAACCAACCAACCAACCAACAACAACAACAACTGCAGCAGCATCCAGCGCCAGTCACCATCAACGGGAGGGATTTGAAAGAGGTTACTTCATTCACTTATCTAGCATTCAGCATTGTCTCAACTACAGGAAGTCGGGATGGACGAGGATGTCAAATCGTCCGAGAATCGGAAGGCGAGAAACACATCAACATCATCAACCTGAAACCAATCTGGAAATCTTCGTCACTCAACCAGCATCAACAACAAAATTCGGTCGGATTTTCAATACAAACGTCAAGTCAGTCAGTTCTTCTATACGGATCAGAAACTTGGCAGGCGGGTCACAAAGAGCATTTCCAACAGCCTGGTGCAGACTAGACCTTTATCAACCAACAACTGTCTTCGCTGGATCTATACTGGAGATCAGATGACCGGCCGGGCTGGAAACAATCACCAACAAGAAACCATGAGAACATACAAACAAAACAAGAAAGAATCGCCAACCAACAAATATGCAGGAGAAAGTGGAGATGGATTGGACGCTCGTTGAGGAGGCCGGTTGGTGACATCGCGCGCGCGTCAGGTCATTTCTCAAGTGGAACCCGACAGAATGGAAAGCGGCGAGTGGGACGTCGGTGCAAGGGTGACATGGAAGAGATCGTGTGAAGAGGAGCTGAGACAGTATGGACTAACATGGATGCAAGTGAAAAGTACAGCAGAAGACAGAAGCAAGTGGAGATGTGCAGTTGAAGCCCTATGTTCCACTAGGAACCCAAGGGAATAATAATAATAATAATATACTAATTGCTTACAGTGGCTTTCATTAAATCCCGATTCAGTTTCACCGATTGTTTTCTCTATTTGTTTATGCAAGCAGAAATTTTACACAATCCATCCTAGGTTGAATTTTGCTGGAAGTGGGGGAAGCTATCCTTTTGAAATTATACACAGACTTCACTTTCCTACATATTTCTACACTCATCAGAGAGCATATTTCATGCATTGTTGAGCATGTCAGTCTTTTGCACGGTAAGCGATTTGTTGGAAAATATAACACCCCCACTATCCCCTATCATCAAACTTCAATACCAAAACATTAAAAATCTGTATTCATATAGCTACTACTTTGCATCCCGAGGTTATATCATGTCGTAAAACAATTGGTTACAGTGTTGCCAAGAAAAAAACCAAAATCGAAATCAAACAGGTAAACTTTTGAATTAATTTCTAAAGACAAAAATTTACAACACTCACCGAATCGAATGCCCCATTTCTCATCTACTAATCCAGCATAGGTTAATTGATTTAACAATGGAGTAAGCGGATCAACACTGCGATCAATAAGTATCAGTAAGTCAGTTTGACTTTCAATTTCGTCTAATGCTGTACACTGTGATTGACTCTTTTCAGAAGCTTTGCTTTCGTCAAGCATACGTCTTAGCATTTTCGTCACTTGCTACAAAAACACAATATATAAGAGATTATTCATTCACAAATTTTCTTTTAAATAGTTCGCGTTTATGAAAACAAAAACAAATGGGCAATCTCTATTAAAGTCTTTCTTATTATTATAAATACACTCCAAAAAGCGACAAAAAAGCAACCAATTCCGCGCGATAACCAAATAAAGAATTAATGCAAACATGTATGACTGAATCATCGACTGTCTGGTTCCAACATAGAACTTTTCACAGATGTCCAGCAGCTTGAGTTGTTACACTCCCTCCTTGTAGCACACAAAACAAGAGGAGAGAGTTGAGAGAGAGAAAGATTCAAAACAGATATAATAAAAAGAAATATGAGGCAGAAAGAATATTTGTGTAAAAGAACGATAGAATTTTATTAGATGTCATAAATCACAAGGAGTTATTGCATGTGCACCAGTCATTGAGAAATATTTTGAGCCATATGACAAATTGTCTTCAGCCTTCATTGGTTCTTACTATCACGATGACCCCAGCCAAACAGCCAGCCAACTAGTCTACAGCCCCAACGAGGCTGCCTGGCTAGCTGGTTTAAACTAACTGTTATGGATTCGATTGACTGATGAAGCCATATTTTGATTTGACCACCTCGTGCCGTGCTAGCTCCTTTCCAAACTGATCCATCCATCCATAAATCCTATGTCAGCGGCTAAAATTACCCGTTATTGAGGAAGGTGATGACTAGGCATCATGTGTAACACATTTCCGAACCATCTCAATCGATGTGACTTCGAAACCTCACCAATTGATTTTCTCTCCTCAACTAACATTTGACGCCTAACTTCAATATTGCTCACCTTACTATACCACCTAACACAGGAGATGGAACGCAGACACTTGTGACCAAAGACAGCTAGCTACCCAAGCTTTTCATATTTTCCATGTCTCACAGCCAGCTATATAGGAGGACCGATCGAACAACTGAGTAGTATACACGTCCTTTGGTCGATAGTCAGCCAAATATCACGTCTACACTAAAAATGGAGCAAGTTGGCGTAGGCCAAAATATGGCTCAAGCCAAATGTCAAATACTTCATGAACTGACGCATGTTTTGATACATCTACCACTAACTCTTTTCCAACATAATCTTATATCAGCTATCATTTCTCCTAGGGGAAGGCGGTGGGTGATTCAGCATGACTAAGTCAATCGATGTAGCTTCAGAACATCACCTGTTTACTTCCCCTGACTATTACTCACCGCATTATACCGCTTAATATGGGAGATAGAACGCAAATACCTGTAATAAACGACAACTAGCCTCTTTATGTCTCCCACTTTAAACAGTAGAAAGTATGGACGGAGTGAGCTACTGCACGGAACACATAAGTTTTGATCAATAGCCGGATGTCATGACTACCTGTCTCTTTAGGTAAAATTCAAAAAAAAACTTTTAAAACAGAAAGAATCTCATTCCGTTATTAAGATATAGAAACGAAGGAGATATTAAGGCTAAACATCCATTCAACAATAAAATCAATATCCACAAAAGCGAACACAATAAAACAAGATATTCTGCAGAGACAACTGAGCACATTAATAATAACAGCAGGAGAAACAAGTGTTGTAACGACAGAAGACAAGGGCCAGGCAACAGATCGTTTATTGAGAAAATCAAGGTACGTTTATAGAGTTTTATGTGCATTATTGTCAGCGAAGAAGCAACGTCTTTTGATCGGTTGTTTTCTTGCCAAAAGTTACTCTGTACTGCTTGTGACCGTTTCTCAGAAAGTTAAGCCATTTATCTGCGAATCCTATCTGCACACGTTATGTCTGCCGTGATTGCTTGGTGAGTTCCCCAAGGTTAAGCTTTGTTATTGTCTTCTCTCATGACCCCGATTCGGGATGCAAACATTGACGTAAATTTCTGTCTGCAACTTCGGCTTGCAACCAGCTCTCACCACAGCATTACAACACATGGAGAATTCTAGAAGCTCACTTTATATTCTAAGTAAGCAGTGAATATACTGTCCAGAAAGACAATGAAACGTCGGTAATTCAACTGTTCAGATCGGAGAACATCAAACAACACTCACTGAAGAGTGAAATGTTTCATATAGAATGAAAGTTGTGAATAAAAGGATCAACTAGTAAAACCAAACATTTGACGTGTCAACTCTTTATAAAGGCAATTAACTTCGACGGTTGTGTTATCATACGGAAATAAAGTTTATTTGTACAAATCAAACGAACTAATCTGGTGCCCGAGTTATTACCAAGTTATTGTTTTTTTCCTTCACGTTCCCCAGTGGAACATAGGGCTTCAAGTTAGTGGCTTGAAGTTTCTGTAGCCGTGTTTATTTTACAGGATGGAGTTGCTAGCCTCATGCCCAACCTTTCTTCTTTACCAGCATTATTTCTGGCTCAGCGAGGTAAAGGAGTATGTCGGTGGCCGGGGATTCAACCCCGGACCATGTGCATGGTCGGCGAGCGTCCTAACCGCTATACCACCGACGCACACAGAGTTAGTGTATTCAGTTGGAATTAATGACTAGTATAAAGACAAGGAGAAAGAGGATTAGATCATATTATTTAAAATAGAATAACAATAAAACATACAGTGTGATGAGTTTTAAGTTAGCCATCGATAATGGCAGACTACCAATGTATATCTAGGAGTAAACAGCAGAAAACTCAAACTATCTGTCAAATACTTCATGTATCGATGACAGTTTTTGGTTAGATTACCGCTAATTCTTTTCAAACATTAAGTCATACCTACTACAAGGTTCCAAACCCCGTATTCGGATAAATGTACGCCAGTGGTTCGGCGGTAAAACACTCGCCCACCACCCACGTGGTCCGGGGGATCGATACTCCATCGACGTACTCCTAAACCTTGCTAGGCCGATAAGGATGAAATGTTGGACAACCCCACCCCGTAAAAAATGAGAAATATAAAAGTCGCTGCCAATGAGATCGATTTGAGCCATATCACCAATTGTTTCCAACCATTGGTTTTTACCCTCCCGAGGACCCCGACCAATCAGGAAGTCTACACCTTCCTACGTGGCTTAGACTAACTGTTGTAGATTTCATTGACTGGTGAAGCCATGTTTAGTTTTTACTGTCACTTGCTGTTTTCCAGCCTGACCCTATGTCAGCTAACAATGCCCATCTGTCGAGGAAGGCGATGACTAGACATACGTAACACATGTCCTAACCATCTCACTCAGTCGATGTAGCTTCTCAGCCTCGTCGACTGATTACTCCTCCTTACCTAGCACTCGACCGAGGCTTAACCTCAGTATTGCTCACCTTACTATACCACTTCACACGGGAGACAGAGCGCAGGCACCTATGATCGAAGACAGCTAATCTTTTCATGTCTTCCACTCTCAATGGCCGGGTCTCACAGTCATAAAGGAGGACGAAGCGGAATGATAAGCAGTACACGCTCCCTTCGGTCGATAGCCAGCCGGATATCACGTCTACGCCAGAGACGGTGTAAACTGGCATATGCGAAACTAGCCCTCTGTATCCGTACTGAGATCTCGTCAGAGATCAACCCGTTGGCGTTGGCTGATGGTACTTCCCAAATAAATGAAGCGGTCAACGTGTTCTACCACTTCACTCCCTATTTCTAATCTAGGAGTCAGTGTAGTCCACTCCTGTAACATCATTTTGCATTTAGGAGGAGCTAATCGCATGCCAAACATTCGTAGATTTCAGCTCAAGGTGTTCAGAAGACTCTGCATTTTGTCAGCGTCCTCGTCTAGAAGGACTATATCGTCTGCATATTCTAAGTCAACGAGATTATTCCCTGGTAGAAAGTCAATCCCTGAGTCGCTGAAGTCACTTAGGGTTAAGTCCATTAGTATATCTATGATGAAGTTGAATAGAAAAGGTGATAATGGGTATCCTTGATGGACACCACTAGTCGTCATCAGTTCAGATGACAACTCGCCGTAAGCGCTCACCTGGCTGCTTGAGTTCGAGTAGAGTGCCTTAATCAGTGCAATGTATTTTCTCGACATCCCCTTTACACCCAAGCATCGCTAGAGTACCTCTCGGTTGAAAGAATCGAATTCCGCCTTAAGGTCAAGAAATATAATGATTGTTGGACGCCGGTGGTGAGTATGCCTATGTTGCAGAATCTGTCGAAGAGTGAAAATATGATCAATACACCATCTTCCTGATCTAAAGTCTGCCTGGCTCTCTCGTGTTTGTGCCGCCTCCCGAACACCACTTAATCTACGCAATATTATTGAGCCTATGGCTTTAGATACTATATTAGTCCTATTATATTATATTATATATTATTATTTTATTAGTCCTCTCACACAGAAATTCTATAAAAAAACCAATGCACTTACCACAGCTTTTTCGCCTTTAGCAAATATTTTTGGGAATAGACCAAAAATTGACTGAAATCTCATTAATCCTTGTACAAATTGATAAATACTATCATGCTTTTCAGCAATTGAATAATTCTACATTTAATATTATTTAAAAAAAAGAGAGTATTATATATATGTATATAGATTAATTAATGTGTATACTAACAGCAAAACAACTTGAATCTTCCATGGATAAAACATCACAATCTACAGGCACAATTGTTAAAGGAAATTCAGATATATGCGTGAATTTATTGATTAACTTCTTGACTTTTAGAAAATTTTTACAAGCGAATGAAAATCTTGGGATGGCTATGATACCATATTGTTTTCCAGTGTTTTGATTGACCTGTGAATCTCTAAAGATTTTAGATAGAAGAAATAATGATAATGACAAGGGAATAGAACATACCTTACAACAAATGATTGTACGCAGTCAACAATGCTGACTTTTGGACTGATAATAAATATTACAGATTTACATGTTGATGGAGAGCAGGTATCTTTGATAGATGTTAGAAGGAAAGAATTAACAACACCGTGTTTCTAAATGTAAATGCGGTTTTTTTTGATTGATTGATTTAAATACTGATATTACTTTCAAATCGGAGTTGTTAACCACTGAACTGACATGAGCTAAAAGATCTTTCTCCCAATATATACACTTAATAAAGGATAATGAAGTTATTAGAAAATATGATATACCTTAGGTGAAGCATATACATCGATATACCTGAAAAATTCATTATGATAGCTTTCTTTCAGCACATCGATATTTAGTGGACCTTCTGTTAGATTGGTCATAACAACTGCACTGTTCTGTCAAAATATCTTTTCTGAAAAACAAAACGAAATCTATAAGTCTACACCTGAACACTTCATATATATATATATATATATATATATATATATATATATATATATATTGCAGCAAAGAAATTTGAGGATGTAACCAGCAAATGAAAAATGAATACGTTGTCCATTCACTACTGATGGAGTGGCTGGCGACGAAATCTCAGCACGGACCCGAAAAGCTCGAGCTGCTTTTGCTGCCTTACACCATCTCTGGCGTAGGCGTGACATCCATCCGGCTATCAACCAAGGGATGTGTACTGCTCAGCAGTTCGTTCCGTCCTTCTCTATGGCTCTGAAACATGGCCAATACGAGTTGAAGACATGAAAAGGTTGACTGCTTTCGATCATAGATGTCTGCGATCTCTGTCTCACGTTAGGTGGTGGTATAATAAGGTAAGTAATGTTGACGTTAGGCGTAGAATGTTGGGCAAACAGGGAAAATCAATCGACGAGGCTATAAAGTGACATAGATTGAGATGGCTAGGTCACGTGCTGCGCATGCCTAACCACCGTCTCCCCCGCCGACGGGCATTGATAGCTGATATATGTGCAGGTTGGAAAAGAGTAGGTGGTGGCCAAACAAAAACATGGCCTCATCAATCCATGAAATCCTTGACAGTTAAACTGGGTCAGGTAGGGAGATGCAGACTTCCGGGTTGGGGCCCTCAGGACTCTAAAAATCAATGGCTGGAGACAATAGGTGACATGGCTCAAAACCGTTGTCACTGGCGCAGATGTATTTAGTCTCTGTAATCTTTCATATTCCTTTCTACCATTACCCATTCTGTTTCACTCTTATACTTGTCAAACTTGTCTATTGATTCTCTTCACTCATCTTCTTGTCTACCTTTGTGTGCTATTTGGAACGTGGCAACTCGAACTGGTGCACTTCGGTGCCAAGTTCTATGTTGAACCCACACAGACAGACAGACCATTCACTACTCAAATACATAGTAGAATGATGCTTAAGTGGTTCCACTACAAGATCAAACAGTAATGACAAACCAGTCTAGAGTGACTGTTTAATAGAAAAAAATTATATCAACTGTAACATCTGCTATTGATAATAATATGAAATGATGAACACTCCTTAAACGCTCTTAACACATAAAACTATCACCATGCATGAACTGATTTCGTTCACACACGCTGCTTTCATTCAAACTAAGTCATTTTGGAATAGCGAGTAAATTGCTTTGTGTAGTCATCGCCTGGAAAGAGTTTTATGTACTGGCTTGGTGTTCTTTAGCGATTAGGTTGAAAGTCATACCACTGACCAGTGCCCAGTCTTCCAGAGCTTTTAGGTCTGCCTGCAGCTTATTTGGATCTTTCGAACAACACTATCGAGCTCCAAATCTTTATATCGTCAGTATAAAAAAAGCCGGGCGGTTTAGATAGCATGGCAGATAATTGGTAAAAATCAAAACAAAATAATCAGTGGCCCCACAATCGAACCCTGTGATACTCCTGATGCTGAACTGCTTCAGGATGATAAGACACGATTGATCTTGGTGCGGAATTCTCTTCTGCTTAGATAGTCCTACAACCGTGAAAGATGGGGTCTACCAATACCCACCTGACTTTGTGAAGGTATCAGAAGCATAGGCATGGGTTATCTCGCACACGCTTGTCTTAGTGTGTACATTACGGACTGGCTTTAACATCATTTTGTGTTGCCAATACGCACATTCCTTGAGTATGCAATACAGCCATACCCGTTAGATAAGTTTTAGATCTTTTTCCGTTGAAATTCTTCAACTTAGTTTTACTCAAATATACTGCGCATTAGATGACATCTCCTTAATAACCAAGTCTTTTTAAATTGTTTTGTCATCAATACTTACAGATTGGGTAAAGTACTGAATTATTGGGTACGTGAATAAACTACGTTAAATGGGGCTGACCGAAAGCAGTACCAGTGTTGTGAACTTTTCTTATAATACGTATCTAATCATATTCATATCTCTATCGCTATTTACACTCTTTTTTCCCTTTATACGTTTAGGCCATTCCGGCTTCATTGTGAAATGAATAAAGCCTAAATTCTTGGTCCATTCGTCTTTTCAAGATTCAAGCATCACTCATCGTTCTAAGACTCAATCACCTTCGTAACAACCAGTATCTTACAAGCTTATAATATGGTATCAGCACTACACTGTCACAACGCCCCCATTGCTTGCGAAAGTTGCATTTGAATACCGAGTCTCCTTTGTAGAAAACAGAAGTACAGACTTAGAAGTCATCTCCTTTCCCAGAGAATACCTTCGAGATTTTATGATATTTTGAGCGCTTCTTTCTTATCTTGATATGTGTGACACATAGACTTCTTTTAGACACGAGTGCGGTACTGTGTCCACTTGGTTCGATCTATGCAGTTTCAATATTGGACTGTGACGACGTAGGCATATTATCACAGCACGGAATGTGCTCAGTTCTTAAGAACCGGTGTGATGGCGTTAATTCCACCCGATTATTCTCTTCTCCTAGATGAGGCCCTGGTCACTGAAGAATACTGTGTATAAATGCTGTTCTTAAGGGTGAATTCGGTTGTCATATAACCAATTATTACTAATTATGATAAAATAACGTGAAAAATAGCAAGTGTCTGCTCAGTAGAATAAGAACAAAAAGAGTGGTAAGGAGTAAGAGAAAGGTTTTCGGCTTTAACGAGAACTTTCAAGTTAATCGTTTTCACAAGAATCGCGTAGCAGGCCAACAAGTCTTGTGTATCTGATCGAGTGAGGAAGATGCTGTTCTTCTATGTTGAATCCAGACAGATAGACAGACAGATGCTGTTACAAAAGTAGCAGCAGAAGTTTGGTAGTAGTTCGAGACAGTTACACTTACTGCACAAATATTCAAAGTGGAAGTAATGGTTAAATTAGAACCGTCGGCCAAGATGAACAGGTTCGCCATGCGGATAATTCGTGAAATATGTATTTTCCGGTTAGAGAGGGAAACGCACGTGTATTCAAAGAACGAACACGCTCTGTTCTCCACAACATAAGAAAGGCATATACCATTAATTTGATCCCAATTCTCCTATTCTAAATCCCTGAATAATATGGAAGTCGCATGAGTTTATTTGATTATTCGTTTCCAAAAACAACTGGCTTTCCACTGATATTACGTAAAGAAAACCACACCACTGATAATTAAGCTGTGGAGAACCCTATCGAATCAAGTAAATTCATCTTGTCTTGAGAAAAGTTTGCGGTTAATGCGAAGGCCAAGTGCCACCGTAATATAATCTTCTGAGCAGTTAGTACAGACATCATGAACATTTGGCTGTAAAGTAATTAATTGCTTCCTACACTTTCCGAATGATTATAGACCTTACCACACTTCCTTGGACAAAACAGCGCTTGCCGCAACTGTCTGCCAGATAGCTGGATAACTCATTTTATTGCTTAAGAAACAAATACAACAGAAATGTAGGCGGGACCGTTAGCGTACTTCAAGAGAACTTTTTACTTCTCTTCTCAATTGCTAGAGAGAGCCAAATGCGAAAAGGTTTGCTTAGTGAGAATCTACAGGAGCAAACAAAAGCGACTAATAACAAAACAATGCAACGAAAAAATAAATTACGACTCACCTTCCAAGTAATGAAAGTTACGTGACATTTATATTGCCGCGTTCAATGTCCAATGCCAACTTATTTACTGATGGGTACGTGTTCTATCTACAATAAGTATCAGTGTTCTTCTAATTCCTTACACAACAAATCGATTAAAGGCTCAGATTCCGCCTTCATAAGTGAATTAAAATCAATACTGCAAAGGGAAATACTTCTTATTTGAAAATGTCGCCTAAGACATTTCAGCCAGCAAAAATATATCAGATGCAAGTGTTGGCAACACTGCCTAATTCTTAAATGGAAAGATATCACTTTTAGTTTTCATGTCCCGGGCAGTGCTAAATAATTCCCCTGCATCATTCATCTTAAAAAAATTAGATGCTGACCTCCACGGTTAAAGTCGGCCCACTCAGTTTCAGACTTGCGACCATGCTTCTGTGCAGTTAAGCAAGCCTTCTGGCCACCTTTCCTTCGTGAAAGATTCCCAGCTAGTTAAGGAAGCATCCTCGCATTATGACTACAATGTCGAAATGTGCTTCGTATTTTGGACGATCAGTTTGGTGTTTTGATTTGACTTTGGTCTGCTTGGAACAAATACTACAGGAGTTGCGTGTACAAGACCCTGCATCAGTACAAGTCGGACTGTCCGGTAACATCAGGACACCCTCATCACCTAGACTGGCGGGCCCTACGGTGAATCCCATCTTCCTTGGTATATACGCAGACAAATCCAATGAGTTCCTCCCACCTCACTAAACATTTTTTAAATACTTCTTTACAATGACTAAAAACGAACCTAAGCTCATCTGCATTCGACCGACTAGCGCTCCTGTCTAGCCCATGACGTTATGTCCAGACGATGCAAGAGTATGGTTTGTTCTGGTGTTATAACATCAACATCAAGTATGTAAGTGTTATAACTGAAATGAACGGAATAAATCCGTTGCTACTTTGGTATGTCTGTGCCATAACGATAGTGAACTCAAACGCTACGCTAGTGGGCCTATTTGTCAGTTGTACCTTCCGATTCACCGAGCTACGCAAATATCAGAAGACAAAGGCTGGTCTGCAACTGTAAGATATTGAATGTTAGGGAGCAACACATGATACTTATTCATTTTCACTACCGAAATGAAGTTGGTTCACTGCTACAAGAATGAATTGTTCTTATTTGATGGCAATGGGTATTCTCATTGGTTGGAGATCCGACAAAGACTGAGGCGGGACAAAATACGGTGAATTGATCACATAGCATTTCTATCACGGTATAAATCAAACGATTCGTGAGGAAGAATTATATTCCATTTTATGACGGGTCCAATCAGTTGCCCAAGGCTGACTTTGGTGAAAGTGGGATCACTGACCGACGTCTATAGTTCCTTGTAGTTGTCCACGTTCTACCGTGAGGATTAAGCATACGCTTCACTACACAGATGTTCAGCTTAGAGATTGGCAACCCTTAAGAGAGACGATCTCGGATCAGTAATATCCAGAGTCGAGCTACGTTACCATTTCGCCAAACATATGCTGGCGCGATTGCGGGAAGTTATGTGCCATCGTCTCTTCGATCTGGGACTCTTTGGAGAGCTGTCCTTGTCTAAGTTACCAAGGCCAGTACAGACTGTACAAGTGTCGCAATCTACGATTTAGCCGCTTCTGCTGATAAAATCCTGGAAATTTCACAACGGCCATGTTTACGTAGAAACCCAGGTGGTTAATCAGAATCCAAACTGCATTCACCTAAAAGTCCTGACTGGTGTTGGCATCACAATGTTAATTGTCAGGAGGCAAAGTATCACCAAAAATCCTACAGTTTCAGTGATGACTCTAAGACTATGGAATCTATCCCGTTGGCACTGGCTGGCGGCAACCGTATCTGGTAGCAGTATTCTCCCACTTCACATGAGAGATATAGTCAACAAAACTCGGTAATTGTTTGACACATGTGCCGAAGTTACAGTTCTCCCCGCCAGAGGAGCGGATCGACAGAAGAAAACTACCTTCAGTTTATTGAATGAGAACGAAAGACCTGTTGGGAACTTTGATAGTAAATACGTTCTTCTGAACAAGGTTCACGCAAACTTAATCAGTGGATTTTCCTTCTTTATGAAATTACGATGTCCGTCACTGGCACTGATCTACTTAAGCATCATGATCTACTCGTAGGTGTCCACTGAAAACGACTGATGGACAGTTCCACTAACCGTCTATCAAAGGCATCACCTACATAGGTTACAGCTCGTCGCTAGATAAAAAGAAGGCGACAGCTGATACAACTTTTCAGTTGATTGTTGACAAGTATGCGGAACTTAATCGCCCCTCAAACGATTTGCAGTTTATAGCCACCAATGTTATGTAGCATATCACAACCTCGGGACAACCCACGACATCCAAAGTACGTCGACTTGCCCTTGAAACAACCGGCAGGAAGTGAATTCGACAATTCCTCGTCTTAAAGTTTTTCAACTCGTGCATCTTACCTATTCTTCCTTACTGTTCACTCTTATTTTTTTCCTAGATTGCTTAAAAAGACTGTCATACCTCGTAGAAGTCTGAAGACTGTCAGTAGAGCGAGTGGTACCCGCCGGGCCGTAACATTTACATCATTGACAGGCACTTAATTTCATGCGACAAATTTGCCAAAGGAATTTTGTCAGACTGGGCATCCACTTCACCCGCAGCCCTTACCTTCACAGTCAGGGCAAGAAGTCATTTTAAAATACTTTATGCACGGACGTCTGAGTATAAAAATTCCACGATACCATATTTGGCACGTACTTTATGTATCAGGCATGCACTGACTAACCTTCTTTGCACTACTAAATAAACCATTTCCCCCACCATCACAACATCAAGCTTTATTGTTATTACTATTCTTGTATTTATAATCCTCGCATTTTTAGTTTTTATTTGTCTATTTTCGCATAAGTGTAACATCATTTGACCTGTGCTATAACTGTTAATTTTGTCTTTCCTCTCGCCACTTTATATCAACAGAACATTAGATTCAATAATCTATAGCGTGGTAAGATTTCTAAATTGAATCGCGAATACTGTTTGAAACAAATTCACCGTTATTACTATCATGTTCATCATTTTCATTTTTTTACTTCGAATATTTTCGACTTCATACCGTAAATGTGGACAAATTCCCAGTCAATATGTATTTTGCGATGCGATATTGTAACAAATGTTGAGAATTCCACTTTGCATTATAAGTTCTGTTTTTGGAATAAATTAGATTATTATTTCTACGCTCACACTTGGTATCGTCCGGCCACTGAACTGCCGTGCTAATAGCTTCATCAAAGTATTATTAAACCAGAATATACAAAATCTCAACTTATATATAACAACTTGATCATCGCTCGTCAGCATTTCATATGTAAGGTGAGATTTTGGAAATTCTGGTTTATTCATACTTTGATAAAGCTATTAGCTACATTAAATAGCGAGACATCGGTAAAAGCAATATCGTTTTTTTATTACAGCTTGATTCCACACCGTATCTTTGGTACAGGTATGGAATTTTCAGCATGGATATCGGTAGCCCAAATTTTGTAGGCCGACCATAGATATCAGGTGTGCATCGGCAGAGAATCGAACTCCGGACCATTTGCATGATCGGCGAGAGTCCTAACCGCTGTGCCACCGACGTGCAAACAATTTCACATGAGAGATGTAGTCAACAAAACTCGGTAATTGGTTGACACAGGTGCCAGAATTGCAGTAAAACCTTCTGTCAATGTTGTGGAAGATTGAACGATCAATTCATGGTTGTTTACTCAAACCCATCTCTATATTTTCCACGGGAGTCGTCAATCCGGCAGTCATCGTCCCATCGTTCGCTGTTCATTGAAAGATAAAAAACTATCAGTAGTATTATCGTGATTTATTGTTATAACATTTATTCTTAGACCTTGTGTGTAATAACCTTAATGTCGGTTACGTATTGACGTAAGAATAAAGGATTCTCGAGTCGCCAATCTATGTTCCGATTTTCCGCGTTGGTTATTATCAATTATTTCTGAAAGTCTTCCAGGGACAGCGTGAGGTCCAGCTTGGTAAAAGCTGGACATTGACAGTTACTGAGAGTTGGCTGACACCTTTATTTTAATGAATATCATATACACAATACCCAAATTTTTTCACACTGTTAAAAGTGAACTTGCTTTTGGAATATATAAACAGCGATATTATCTGGAGAAACTTTTTTTCGGAAATAGACTTGGTCAAAGCATACAATCCAATTCTAATGTCACCAGAAGACATTCAGAGAATGGCTATCATCATGCCTTTTCGAGTGTTTGAATTTCTACGTAAGCCATTCGGTATCTGGAATGCAGCACAAAAATTCCAACGTTTCACTGACGAACTGTTTCATGGTCTTGACTCTGTACAAAAATACTTGAACGATTGCTTCTTTACGAATCCAAAAAAATCTCACATTCAACAGTCGAACTTAACATCCAACGGGTGACGCCAGCATGGTGTTACCATTAATATCCAAAAGTGTTTAATAGGAGAGGGATCACTAGACTCTCTTGGATACAAGAGAAAATATCCACTGACAAGGAGAGCTGAGGCGATTTTAAACATTCCACAGCCATTACGGCGAGGAACCCTTGCAATTTTGATGGTTTGGTAAGTTATTACCAACGATTTATTCTCGATTGTGCCCCCTTGACTCAGCCGTTAACAGGCACCATTAAGTAACCCACTTAATGCATCCGACATTATGGTTAGTGCAGTTCTGTAACAGCATGTTCAGCAAAGAACTTTTGGGTATTTACTATGCTTTACGTCACTTCTGACATTCAGTTCAGGATTGTGAAATCATAATTTTCACAGACTATAAAGGAAACCTTCAAGGTGAAGTTGAAATGGAGCCAGGCCACAGTTTAAGTTCAATATTCAGGAACTGAAGAATAAAACTACAAGCAATGCCTTCACTACAGATCAGATCAGAGCAGAGTTGGAGACATTATGTTTTATCACCAAATAAAACTTTCTGAAAGAACATTGGAACTCTCTGAGTGCAATGTTCAAGGAAACGTGTATAAAATGTTCTTGGAAGAAAGAAGAGACACGACAATGAATGGCCCACAATGAATACCTGGAACGTAATAGGAGAAAGAAGAGGAGGATGGTGAAAGAGAAGATGACCCAATGCAAAGATGGACAACAGAAGGAGAAGCTGAGTTCCATGTACACTGCACTGAATGAAGCCGTAAAGAAGAGTGCTCAGAAAGACGAAATACAATCCTACGACACATCGGCAGCAGAAGCAGAACAAGCTGCAAGCAAAAGAGATTTCA